TGTACATCACTACATAAAGCAAAACAAGTAATGAGAATAAACAAACTATACATCACTACATAAAGCAAAACAAGTAATGAGAATAAACAAACTATACATCACTACATAAAGCAAAACAAGTATGAGAATAAACTAACTGTACACCACTACATAAAGCAAAACAAGTACTGAGAATAAACAAACTGTACACCACTACATAAAGCAAAACAAGTACTGAGAATAAACAAACTGTACACCACTACATAAAGCAAAACAAGTATCATGAGAATATTTACACAAGGAAAAATCCAGTAAATTAGATGTTTGAAAGAGAACAGTTGTGTTTCTCTATTTTCATATACATACTTAGTAAAAACACATACAAATTTCTACATGTGGATATAAGTATTTATACATAGATACATATATATATATATATAATTACACAAACACATATACTCTCCTTCACAAATGAGTAACTATTTTTCATTGTAAGGACCTTTTGCGCAGCACTTTTACACATTAGTTTTGTATCTATGCAAGTCATGAGGAAATGGTTCACAATAAATTACAAATTTTGGAATAAATCACTTGGTGGTTTAATTAATGAACACTTGAGGAAATGGTTCACAATAAATTACAAATTTTGGAATAAATCCCTTGGTGGTTCAATTAACAAACACTTGAGGAAATGGTTCACAATAAATTACAAATTTTGGAATAAATCACTTTGTGGTTTAATTAACTAACACTTGAGGAAATGGTTTACAATAAATGACAAATTTTGGAATAATTACCTAACACCATTTCTCATTATCTCTCTTTCAACTAGAATGAATTAGAAACTAAGTTTTTACCAAGTTGGAAGATATTCCTAGTTTGTTTACAAACAAGGAAATAAATTCACTTGCTTAACTAAGAACAATCTACTAAATGGGCTATATTACTGGATTGATTTTTAGTTCTGCCCTATATATATAGCTTGCTTAGATCAGAAGTTAACATTAATGAAAGTAAGACTTGTGATTCTGTGCCAAACAGATTTAGGAATATTTTCAGATGATTCTCAAGAACACACCTGCTGATATGTAAAACAAAGTGCTTGTTATTTGTGCAAGTAGTAATTCTTGGCTAGCAAAAAATTATTTCTTCAACAGCAAAGAAAAAAATTGCTACTATGTCTGATAAACACTAGCAGTTCACATTTGTCACAAATAAAAAACTTCCCGATAGTATTTCCTTCAACCGAATGGGCCTCGATCTCTTTCAATATGAAAGATTACAACGACCAAATGTATTTAAAAATTATACTCTATGGTGGATATTATGTTTATTCAATACATTCATCAAAAACTTCATTTAATTTGCCCAAAATTCACTGAAATTAAAACATTAAAAGTAAAATTAAAGCATTTCACATACCTTTTGTGTCCGGGCAATTTCTTTGTCTGCTACATCGCTGTTAATTGCCAGCAATATTCGAAGAAAATAATCAGCACCAGGGGACCCTAATGTCAAAAGCTTAAGCATGTCACCAAAAAAGTTGGGCCAAGAATGAGGAAAGTCAGCCAAAAACATCAAACACACCAACTGAGCTATTTTGTTGCGAATAAAAACCTTGTGTACTTTCCCTCCACGACTCTAGAATGACAAACAAGATTTTAAAAATTATCACACAGACTATGAAACTATTTTTTCTTTGATATATGGTATAAAATAGTTTTGAAGACATATCTACATGCAAGTTCATTTTAGCTTTTACATTTTTATAACTTTTGTTAAAAACATATAGCAAAATTAAAAATATACATAAAAAACAAGAAATTTAAGACTTACCTACCTAAGGGCGTATTTTGATGAAACTACTTTTTTTACACTACACTGTCTACAAAATAATTCAAGTTGATTTCAAATATGCATTTTATAACATAGAACAATATAACAGACACTAGAATTTATTGTCCAAAAACTACAGTAGCTTAAAAATTTTTATTAGTGATCAGAACAGTGACATTAGTCCCATTTCAAGAATTTCTTGCGAGGTACTGGCTTTCATCACCAAAAGACAACAGACAATTGTCAGATTTACATGGTTCAGAAACTAGTATTTCTATTAGTTATAACCATGTGCAATAGCAATGTCAGAGAAATTACAGACATGTCTTTAAAGACAGAGAGAAATATGTGTATCATCTGGGTTTGACTAAAATAACAGTTATAGCTAGGCATTTAGTATTATTTGCTAATCACTTAATCTATGGGCTCACTAATTGATTACAATTGATTAGTACTCCACACCCCCTATAATCAGTACAAACAAACCAAAAACAATGAGTATTTGCTTCCATCTCGACTCTTCCCAGCTTAGCAGATACAATGCTAACAATGCCTAAGTACCACTAAATCCCGCAATTGCCAGTGTTTTCAAAACATGCAGTAGTCCCTCACTGATCTTCTGTAACCCAAATAAACTGATAAATAATAACAACTTTTTACTCTTGTGGTAAAGGCAATAATATTTTTATTTCAAACATGTCACAAATACAAATAATTAAGTAGCCAGATAGACTATATATTCATGTTTTTTTAATAGGATGAACACAAAAACAATATTCAATCACCCACCATACTCATTGAACAGTAAACTTGTATGATAATTTTATTAGGTGAACATAATGAAAAAACTCATGTTTACAAACATTGCAACTCAATGAAATCATAGTTTATCTATTGAAAAATAAAAATTTCATATTTAAACAAATAATCAAGCATCAACAAGCTACCTTTATTAAGTCTTAACCAATCTCCAGTCACATGACTTCCTACTGTTTATATATATGTTTAAGTAAATTACTTAAACCTGATGATGACAAACCTTCTCCAAACATTGTACATTTGTTAGTGTTAAACTTTTAATAACCTTTTCTTTGTTACCCATTAAACCCATCTCTAAACTGCAAGCTTACCTACGTTATCTCATGTTATATGGTGTCTTCTCACTGAAGACAGTTTCTGTAACTTTTAGCTTTCAAGCAAATATAATTTAACACCCAAATACTTTCACAATTCACAACAAAAGGAACACGTATATAAACTATAAAAAAAAACTCTTAAACCTACATATTTACTCTATTAATTGTTATGAATTTTGCGCAAAGCTACACGAGGGCTATCTGCGCTAGCCGTCCCTAATTAGCAGTGTAAGACAAGATGGAAGGCAGCTAGTCATCACCACCCACCGCCAACTCTTGGGCTACTCTTTTACCAACGAATAGTGGGATTGACCGTCACATTATAACGCCCCCACGGCTGAAAGGGCGAGCATGTTTGGTGTGATACTCTATTAATACATGCATGATAGCCAAATTATTAGTCTATCCAAACATATTTAAACTTTCTTTATAGTTGTTTTCAAAGCTTTGTTTTATTAATAAGGTATTAAACAACTTCATGTAGCACCATAATAAGGTGGCAAACACGGGCCATACAAAAGTTAAGAAGACTACTTGAAAAATGAAGAAATGGATAATATATTTTCAAGGGTTGATAGGTTCATAGCAAAATTAAAGTTATTTTCTTAGGTTGGGCAGAAAAATTCTAAAAACAAACATCGATGCAATGCACAAGATATTTTATTTAAAGATAAAACTCTTTGCATTTATGCAGAAATTAAAATACTAACTTTTTCCTCATCAATTACACTAAATAAGTGTCAGAATATATTTGTTTGTAGTTAAGCACAAAGCTACACAATGGGCTATCTGTGCTCTGCCCACCACGAATATCGAATCCCAGTTTCTAGCGTTGTTAGTCTGCAGACATACCGCCGTGCCACTGGGGGGCGTTAGAATATGACAATATCAATTTTAAAATTATTCAATTGCTTGTAAGTAAAATATAAAATTGTCTTAAAATTTGTGGCAAAAATATATGAAAAGTTATCTTTAGTAAAATAATTTAAGAATAAGTTATTTTGTTCATCTAAAGCTGCTGTAAATGAAAATGCATCAAACATACAAAGTAGTACAAAACCTGTAACAACCTGAAAATATGATTAATAGTGTACTATATGTTTCTTCCTTCAAATTTCTGTAAGATTGCTGTATTAAAACTACTGAATTTTTGTTTATGAAAATAAGCATTACTTTGTGACACTTTCAAACCACAAACTTATAAAAATTTAATAAACTTTATCACCATAAAAAAATCAATAACCAAATATATATATATAAAAAAAAAACTCATTCTGGCTATAGGCCTACATCATGTGCAAGTTACTTGAATACTTTTTTCATTGTTGTAAATAAAATTATCACAAAAAACAACACATGATATTTGACTAACAAAACTGATGTTCATAACAGAATAGAGAAATGTCTAAGCTCACTAGATGGCATACTCATGTTAAACATTTTTCACATATGCGATTCAAAAATATTTCAAATTATGTTAAAATGTTATTACACTTTGAAAAACCATTACTCAAAACAGAATCAATTAGAATGTTATGAGGGAAGGGTCCAATTAGACCTCTACTAGCACTACTAATAAATTTATAATACCTTTGTTTTCTTTTTTTCTACTTATAATTGTATACTACTAGTAATTTAAGTAATAACATCAATGAAAAAACCTACAAAATTCTTATGAGTAACTAAGTTTGGATAAATCCAATGATTTCACTGCCTATATCTACATTTCTAGTAGTGATTTATATGAAAGTAAAAATTGTTAAAGACAAACATTTTGTAATTAAGACTAAATAGTTATAATTATATATTTTTTTTAATTATAAAGTCTACACATATATACATATTTTACAGGATCCCCGTTTTCATTTTTGTAAGTCATCATTGATACAGTTATAGCACTTGCATTGTTTAATTTGGACATCAACAATATGAAAGCATCTCATGAGTGTTATAATTTTCAAACAATGGAAATTATTTTGTAACATTATATAAGAGCTGCGTGTATCCTAAACAATACTAGCTTTGATAAAACAAATCCCTGAAGTTTAAAGTACACACACATACATTGTTAGTGTCTGGAAAAATTCAAGGCACAAAAATTGACCATGGCAATGCTTAAGTGACATTCATTGTTGTATTCATTTAGAAACAATCATTTATTGGCTGAGACTGTAACAATTCTAGCTTTTTTAACCTAAAAAAAAATTAATACACCAATCAAATAAAAACATTGATATCTAATTTTCTGTGATACTATTGACTGTTTTTTTACTAATTTCTGAAAAACAATATGTGGGAGTTGCTCTCTTGAATCTCTCCACTAAAACCATACCTGCTTATACAACATTAAAGAATACAGTTATTAATTTCTGGAACAAAAATAGATGGCAGTCTGGATCCCCTGGGCCTCTCCCCCAGACCTTTGCCTGCTTATGCAATATTAAATAATACAGCTATAAGTTGGAAACATAAAACAGTGTAGGAAATGGTAAGTTTACACTTTATTTAATACTTATGTAGCTAGAATCAGTGGTGGGTGTTACCAGCCATTTGCCTTCGCTTTATTCAGCAGTTCAAAATTAGTGACAGTGGCAAAAAGCCTTAAAAGCTTTGTAACAACAAAGACAAGAATAGTATATTTAAACATGAAGCATCCCCCCTTCTATTATATAGGTTTGTGCTCAACAATAAACCAACATAATGGCAATATTTTGAAAACTTGGATATTCAAAATAATCAAATAACCCTAATTTTGATTAGTTGATTATTTTCATGACAACTGAATTCATTGAAAATTAAATTCGTCAATTGTTAGAATAATGGAAATGGTATTAACCAGAAACACCAGTTTTGGTTAGTTGACTATAAGAGTAGAAAAAAAAAATTATATGGGGAAATCAAAGCACCAGATGTACAAAGTGACACAGTTCAAGACTGTGAATTTATACAAATATTTCTTTTTGAAATTAAGGAATCAAAACTTAGATAAAATTGAGCTTGAGTTACAAATCACATTTTAATGTTAACTTTACTGACGTACATTAGCAAAAAAGTTGTTTAATTAAACCTTGAATGTAACTCTGTAAAGAGGTCATGATATGCCAACTTTGACCCTGCCATTCACACAGAGTTAAACACATTTTTATAAACCATTTATGCATAAAGTTAAGTTGCTTTTGGGGGCATAATTATGTTGGCTAGAGACTCCTTAATAACATACAAGTTACACACACACACATAACAAAAGAAAAATAACATCAGCATTGCAATTAACCCCACTGACTGCACCTGTAGTTCCTTGTGTACTTTACATATTAAATGAGCAATTTCATCCAATATTTCTGGACAGTTCTTTATAGTGAGTGTTGTAACAGACAAAAATATATGGACCCACAATTAGTACTAAATTCAAGATTAATTATATGTATATATAACATACGCATACAAATCTGTATGAATGAAATTAAATGCAATTCAGATAAAGATATGGATGATATTTTATAGGAAAGAATGCCTTATCTAATAGTAGGAAAACAACAACAGAAGGTTATGGAACAAGTTAGACCATGTGTTATCAGTCTGAGATGTCTTGCATTTGCCACAGAATATTGGATTGTTATACCATAATTTGTATCTTCACTGGGATCAAAAGATATAAATTAGAAATATTAATAAAATTTGTTTCTTTATTTAGAAGTTTATATGTTGTCTCTATTACACGCATTCAACCAAGTATCTTTTTTTTTAATTGTTTGCATTTTTTCCCTATCTATGCAGAATAACAACCATTGACTCGACATAGTTGTTTACACTATATATACCATGGCTGTGCGTGCATATTGTTAACTCAACTACGTACAGGTGTAGAGGAATCCCAACTTCATGCATATTAAATAAAAAAGGGGATCTAGTGTTTCTCAACAACCACAGAGTATTTTCAGCGAATATTGTTTTAGGGCCAAATTTATTTCATCTATACAACGTATGCAGTCAATATTATACATTGTACCCCATAGGACGTTCACACCAGGTACCACGTCACCTGATTTTGCAAACAGCACAGTAAATGCAATATCAAAAATATATTTGTCAGATCGCTAAACCAAATGATTATATTTCTCTGACTGCTGTGACAACAAATCGATATCATCAGAGACGGGATGCCAACTTTCGCTAAACCAAATGATTATATTTCTCTGACTGCTGTGACAACAATTCGATCATCATCAGAGATGGGATGCCAACTTTCACTAAACCAAATGATTATATTTCTCTGACTGCTGTGACACCAAATCGATCATCATCAGAGATGGGATGCCAACTTACTCGAGTTATCAGACTGTCAGCCTTCTTAACTTTTTCATGATTCTACTCAACAACTGGGCTCAATTATTCACGTTTTCTAGAGTTCTGTGTAATTTTAATAACTTTTTCCTTCAGAGAGATTTTTTTTGGAAACATCAATAAAAACTTTTGAGTCACATAAAAAAAAAATTGGGGTTAGTCCAGTCATTAGGAACATTTATTCTGGCCATGTAAAAAACCTTTAAAGTAAAAAAAAAATACTATTTCAGAAAACAAAAAAGGAGTGATATATATTTCCAAAGCTAAAGAAACTCTCTTTTATAATCTGAATACAAAATAGATGTCACAAATTGACATATTAAGTCAATGTGCCCCCCATATTCAAACTAAAAGATTGCCTATAACTCGGAGCATGTCAAAAAAAGGTACATGGCCTCACCTTTTACACATGTACACTTCAATTTGTTTAAATACATAAACAACACTAATCTAACATTTTACTTTCATTAACACACAAACCTAAAATTAGAGATTTATAAGAATTTCATTTATAACAGTACACAAGCTTAAAATTTAACATGTTTGAATTGATATTCACATACTGTGTAAAATTGAAAATTTAGATATTATTCAGCAACATATTGATTGGAACTGAATATACAACTTATAGTAAAAAAGGAAGAAAACCTAAAGAGTAATTCACTAATCTTGCACTGTAACAACAATAGTAGTGCTGGTTGATCAACTGTGGCCCTATTATTCAATTACAACATTGTTACTCCAGCCATTATATCCACAAGAAAACAAAAAAGTTGGTGACAGGTGCTACCAGCCAGCCAGACTCCTTCCCTCTTCTGGGCAGTTCAACGACAAAAAAAAAGTTTGTAGTGGATGCTACCAACCAATTCCCTTCTCTCTTTTCAGAAGGCCAAAAACAGTAATAAATAAACAATAAAAGAAAAAAAAAAGTTGGTGACAGGTGTTCCCAGCCAGCCAGCTGCCTTTTCTTTATTCAGTAGTTTAAAAATTGTGACAATGGCAAAATAGCCTTATTAGCTTTTCCATAACAAAGAAAGGAGGCAAGCAAGTTTGGTTGCAATATTTCAATTACTTGGATAGTTTGAATTAGCAGTAATCCTAATTTTAATTATTTTTGTGACAGTTAGTTTAATCATAATTTCAATTAATCAACTGTTGAAATAATCAGTAACCTTAATTTCGATTAGTTGATTCTTTTCATGATGATCAATGTGCTCTGAATTTTGATCGATTCTTGGAATAATTGAATACAATTAGAAACACTAATTTTAGTTGATCTGTTAGTTTACGTGATATTAATAAATGTAAATGTTGATAAATTGACTAAATCTCCCAAATACACGGACGATGCCTTATATTATACATAAGCTATATTTGTGGAATTTAATGTGCAAATCTAAACTAATATTTCATTTAAGTAATTATGCAACCTATTGAACAAGCCAGGCTTTGGAAATTATGTAAGTCTAATCACTGAAATACAGATCAAAATCACATTTTATTAAATTAAAAAAATGACATTTATCAAAATCAATTCATATTAAATGCATTTCTTTAATATGTTGTCATTTCTCATCAATATAATTTATATTTATATCACATCTAAATTATACTAGATAAAACCATATTAATGAAGGTCTACAAAAATATTTCTCCTTACCTGGCTATTTAACCAGTGCTTGAAGAAATCTCTAAGAAAATGTTGTTTCTCCTCTTCGGATTGGGTATACCTAAATATTTATAACACATTAGTTGTTTTTTTAATACAGAAATAGCTTTATTCAAGCCATTTCAGGGCTAAATAGATTTCTCACTTTAAATGTGAAAATGTTTGTTTGTTTTGAATTTTGCATAAAGCTACATGAGGGCTATCTGCACTAGCCATCCCTAATTTAGCAGTGTAAGACTAGAGGGAAGGCAGCTAGTCATCACCACCCACCGCCAACTCTTGGGCTACTCTTTTACCAACGAATAGTGGAATTGATCATCAGAGTATAATGCTTCCATGGCTGAAAGGGCGAGCATGTTTGGCGGAACAGGGATTTGAACCCGCGACCCTCAGACTACGAGTCAAGCACCCTAACCACCTGGCCATGCAGGGCCATTTCAAATATGATCTTCTCAACATTTAATATACTTCAATATTTAAGCCACAGACCACATCATTTTTATCCCATAAGAAAAAAAAAAGCTATATCTTGAAACTAAACAAAGCTCATCAACTGTACAGGTAACTTACATTAAATTATATATATAATTCCTTAACTCTTTCACTACAACCTTTGCTTTAAATGAACCAAAATGTTCCTATCACAACCTTCTCTAGTACTTCATTCAAAAATTAAACAACTTTATTATCAATGTATGTCTATAAACTTGGTAAGAAAATAATATATAATTCAAATTTGTATATTATCTGTTTTAACTTTTTCATTTGAAGAAAAGTAACATTTTAAAAAAATCAAAATTTTTCGTTTTTCTGTGACATGTCTAAACTCTGATTTCTCCACTTCAGAATTTTTTAACATTAAAAATAGGCTGCTGTAGTTCCCAACCAATTAGAAACAAAAACTATACACAATTACCAGTAAGTGTACAAAATTTGTACTCCTTCCTTCTTGATTTGCCAATAAATTTATCAAACCAAAGAGAGAAGCTCCTACCCCCTCTCTCTGAATGTTTTTCTAAATTCTTTTGCTAATTAACTTAGATGGCTGATGGACGTGTTTATATCCAATAGGAAAAGAAGATTCTTCTCTACCTAATGCATAATAAATCTATTTGATTTAGGCATCTTTAAAAAAACTGTCTAATGTAATTTCATTGTGTGCAAATATCATATTATAGTTTGTTTGGAAAGCCAGATAAATTATAGCAATTTTGAGACATTCTATTCTAGTGACCGATATATTTTTAGTGGTTCTTAAATTTGACAGCTACGTGAATTATTTTTCAAGACATAAATTTGTGAGACTTAAAAAGGCTTAGAGAAAAACAGCCTTGACTTCTGCTTCAGTGCCTAGCAAGTTCTACAAATCTTGGAGGATTTATGTACTATTTTTTTTTATTCACTTATATATGTATTAACAAAGGTAACTTAAGTGTAAAAATTAGAAACTTTCAAGATTAGCCTAACAGAACTTCTGCAATGTAAAATGGCTACAATTTCACAGGCTTGACTCTAAGCAGAGTGTATGCATATTTCATGCATATCTACTAGAAACAGCTAATGGGCTCCCATTGCGATATATTGCTTTTTTAAAAGAAACAAATGTGAAAAGGCATGACAATTTCTGATAAATATTGCAGTTACAGGAAAAGTGGTACCACTGATTTGATTTCATATTCAACTTTTCACTGTATAATGATTATTCAGGGTAGAGAAAATAAAAGCTAATATACAGTTTTGACCAAAAAAAAAACACTTTTGATATTCATTTAGAAGGTTCTAGATGTTATGCAAATGAAATATGAAACTAAGATGAAAAGTTTTAGACTTCAATAATTCATATACAAGCCTTTAGCAGAATACTTTATTAAAAAATCTGTTGTTTTTTTTTATTGTAAAAAAGATTTATAAAGTTTACTAAAACCTCATTAAATTTTGCGAAGATACATTTAGTAAATTCAAGAGTTACAGTATGCACAATTTTTCAAATAAAGGATTGATTAAATTTATCCACTTCAAACTTGTAGTGTTAAAGCAACCCAACTTATCAACTGTACAGGCAGCTCTAATAAATGAATAAAATAAAATAAAATCATACCATAATCGTTCTTTTGTTAATTACTGTACAGTAAATGAGTTTTGTTTCATTTGAAGGTTCAGTTTTTTCCCTTTTTCTGGGCTTATGATGATGGGGTCTGGGGTTTAAGAAATGAAGTATATGCTAAGAATAACTTAAGCCAGATTAATCAATTATATAATTTCTAAGCTTTTTCACTACAACCTTTGCTTCTGGTGTGTCAAATTGTGCTTGTCACAAACTTCTGCTGTGCAACATTCAAAAAATGAATCACACAATTTTATCATATCATCAATGCACATCTACCAACTTATATACTTAAATAACACAAAAATTAAGCAAATTAATAAAGAATATTATCATGGAATAACACTTAGTTGCAATAACAACTGCTTTAAAGGTTTATGATGTTATAAGTTGTATATTTTATTGTTTGTCTAAAACTTGTTTTATTTTCCAATCTGTTAAAAATCTTAGTTTTTTGAAATAAAAATATATGCATTCCCTTAAACCATATTATTAACTTCTATAAAAGACTAGGCCACTTTTAAGACATTTCTGTATACGAAAACCTTTACTTTATGGATACTATGGATTAACTGCTAAATAAATTAGCACAAGTTCTTTAACAAGTGAAAGTAAAACTAGTAATTATTTGCATATTCACCAATATCGTTTAAATAGTTGAAATTGTATATAGTAACTGGCACATTCATTTACTCATGTCCACAAAAATAACAACATTCCCTCGTACCAATTAAATGTATTAAAAAAAAAATCAAATTCTAATTTAATTGTTCTTTTTGCTGGTTTCAGCTTATCAAAATTTTTTTATTAAATTCTCATAGGAAGAAGTTTTGTATAATATAGTGAAACAAAACACTACAGAGTAACTGGTGATGTAAGATATATTTCTAAAATTACTTGCAATAACTATTAACTCATGTTCATGCAACTCAAGTAGCGAACAGCATCAAAGGATACAATCGTGTCCTATACAAATAACTAACACATAAATCAAAAAATGCAAGATTTTAAGTACTAGACTATAACTGGCTCAAGAAATCCTGTAATTTAATGCTTACCTACATTACTACTCAAACAATGTTACATTATTCCAAAAAACGTTACTTTACTAAATTTTTCCTTCTCAAATTTACTATGTAAAACATGTTTCAAAATATTATCATATTGCTCACAAAACATAATTGTTTTTTTATCTTACTTATCAAATGAAAGATTAATAATGAACAAAGGTGCAATTAGGTAGCAACTGCCTACTTTAGCAAGACATTTGTAAAGAAAGTCCAAATTTTCCTGAATAATATTTATTACTCTCATTGTGGCTATGGTGAAAATTTGTTCCCTAAGAAAAGTATTTTAAATATAATTATTTTAAATGTCATTTTCTTTATAATCACCCTATATATTTTAACTTAAACTTTACAATTATAAAAAATGTAATTAAACTACAAGTGTTAAAAAAATAGCTAGTGAAGAATTAATTTTTGTTCAAGAAACATTAACCATGATTTCAACTGAAGAATGCTATATTTGAATAAAGGAGATTGACGGGCATAATGACTGACAAGACTTAGTCCTAACTACCAATCGTGACACTGAAGCTATTAAGAGAATTTGTATATTGAAAACTTAAAGATTTAAAATAGTTTGAAAATCTAGCATCTCTGACACACTGACTAAAAAAATATTCTACCTGGTTTTTATATAGTGTTCCACAACCTGAATACAGAAAAACGTTACATGTTCATCCCTGTCAAAAGAGAACAGAATTAATTATAAAAACAGACTTTGCATCGTAGTTTTCTATTTATTAGGGAAGAACAAAACAAGTTCTACATAGCTTTGTTAAAGATATACATTACCTAATTTTTCATAATAATGGAACTTGGAAGACAACGCAGACTATCAACATTTATTATATGTTATTAATTTTGATTAATATTAACAGTGATTAATAATGATTAATGTTGATTTGTTATTATTATACATACAATATTTCTTTAAACATAAATATTTACTTTTGTTGTTATGTCTGGGTAAACTATGTACACATACATACAATTAAAAGTTTAGTAATTAACTCTCAACTGAGGACAGACAATCAACATGTTAACAACTCAACAAAGTAGTCTTACACACTGAAGAAGTTTTTAAACAATAATTTAAAATTTTACTATTAAGATCACTAAATTTTCATATTGCTTTTATATATTTTCGATAATTCTAATACACTTTTATTTATTCATTTGAATTTTTGTTTAAGTTTCAAACTTTCAGTAAAACTCTGTGATAAACTACATATATAAATACATACAACTCAATGCAAAAGAAAGTTAAAGAACACAAATTTTTTTGTGTTCAACATAAGTGGTTAAACAGAATTTTAAACTCTTACCAATAGAGAAACTGATCCACAAGTTTCAGTGTTTTGCTCTCATTTTACATCATCTAATTTTGGTTAAATTAATAATTATTTAAAAGTATTTTCAGGAATGGAAAATAACAGTAAGTAACTTTAAAAATTGTAAAAAACTATTCAAGCATTCGCCACAGTTGTTTAGGCAAGTCCTTCAGATGATTTTCATAGTCACTCCAGTTTAGTGTACTGTTTTTATTAACAGCTGTAATATTGATTACAATTATGTTTCCAGTGCATTATCACTGTTATGTTTTAAAATTGTTATCATCATCACTCTTTCACTAACCCACACGTGGTATAATGTTTTACTACCCAGCTACTCTGTAACAAATTAATGTATTACATAAACTGTGAGTTAAAACACATCTACACATTCACTAAATGTCACACTGAAACTCCAACTACAGGAGAGGTGGGTAGAATATGAAGCACAAAGAGCACTGTATAAAGCAATAACTGTTTTTCATACAGGACTGGTCATTTTGACCAACCTTTTAACACTCAAAATTTAATTAAACAATTTTATTATCAATTTATGTCAATAAAATTAGCATCAAAATGTAGTTTATAAACCATATTTATCTATGTTTTAATTTCTTGAATTTAAAAGCAAATATTTGAAAGAATTTTCAATCTTCACCTGTGTTGTCATGTTACACGTAAGTGCTCTCAATTCTCCCCTTTTAGGTTGTATAACTTCAGTAACATAGCATCTAAACTAAGTAATTTGAGCACATGACAGGGTCAAATGTACACTTCCAACACCTTAACTCCTCCACTAGCTGAAATTTTAATAAATTTTCAAAACTCATGACGGAAGTCTCATCCACCTATCCCAAACTTTCAAGGCAGTTTTCAAAACCATGTGTTCTTATTTGACATATATATTTTTATAACCAATATAGAATGAGATAATTTTGTATTTCAAGCTTGCAATCATCTCTTTAAATTTGGTGTTAATTGGACATTGGTCCAAAAAATATGACTGGTGCATGTGTGTGTTGATGTTCATAGCAATAACAATTTAACCTGTTTATAGCTCAGTTAGAAAGCCAATTAAATCAGTTTTTTTTAAATTATATTTTAGTAATTTATGTATTACTTATTCTGAAATGCATATTTGAAATGTACATTAATCATTGTCTCCACAACAAACTTATTGAGAGAAAATGATAGACTTAGATCAGTAAGTGTCCAAGTATAGAATTCCACACATTCAGTACCTCAGTCTCCAAGAATGTATTTCCACTATGATGTGTTACTTGTTTGGAATGAATAAACTGTGCATTGTACAATAAAACCATAAAATAACAATAAACTATACCTGAAAAAGCAAACAGTTTAAATTGTGAATATATTAGAAAACCACCAATATCCCAAAACAACATGTCTCAAAGAAGAAGGAAAAAAAAGTATTGTTCATTTTGTTTGATACTTTTAAGTTTTATTTTACTGTATATTGATGATTCAGTTACAGTTACTGTTAGAGTGGAGAAAATAAAATATAAATTTTTGCTGAAAAACCCTGCTGACCTTTGACATTCTACAGGTCATGCAAATGAAATAAGAAAATTGTAATATGAAAAAAGTATTTTTATTCATAACATGAAACTCTCTTTGCACCAAGACTAGTCAGACCAATTCCTAACTTCACAGAAATTAAAAATAAAAATACTTTTTTTTTTGTGTACAACTGATTTGTAATGTTGAATAAAATCTTGTCAAATTTTATGAAGATAGACTTTATAATTCAGAGTCATCATATGCATAGTTTCATGTTGACATGATGGTTACAAGGGCATCCAAATGAAAGGACCCCACAAACAGAGAATTAAGACTGAGCTTTGTTCTAAATAAAATGCCAGCTTGTCCATTCTTGAGATATTATAAAAAAATTCATTATGCAAATTAACTATCATTTAAGAAAGAACAGGGACAACATATGTATTCTTCTACGTTTGTACTTCATATCATATTTTTGACTTTTTGTAATTTAGAAAATTGTCAGTTTCTTAAAAAAACATTCTAGTGGTAGCACAATAACTTTCCACTTTAATACACATCACAAAACAGTCTGAATATTCCAAATATGCTTACAAATTCTGTCCAGATGTTAGAGTTCTGATACACAGCTGCCATCCATCTTCAGAGGCTTTCAACTGTTCAAAGTATTGCAGTGCCTGATACGTAAAGAAACAATGAAGACATTTAATGATATTAGCAATACAGTGTTACAACGAAAGTTCACCGTTTATCACAAAGATGCTGTTTTACACAAACCCTTCAGTATTAAAGACATGAAAAATAGTAAAATCTCCAATACTAAAGTATCGTGTAGAAAACAGTAAAAACACTGTAGATGTATGTCTACAAAACATTAATAAATATGATTACATTCGCTTCACTTTTGACCAATCAAGAGAGCCACTAGCACTGAATTATACTAGATCCAAAAGAATGTGAAAAATTTTCATATTGCATCAACAAGCCTCGCTTCTATGGCCAACAACTAAGGTATCACGCGCACACTAAATGTGACCAGATGCATGACTAACTTTACATTTCTTTGTGTTGTTTATGGCTCATTACTGTAAACATTCACATAAAAGAATGTAAATAAAGATTAACAGCATAATTATAATTCCTCAAATTTCTGACATGTAATAAAACACACAATCTAACTATATAAAGTAATCCAAGAAAACACCCAACCTCCTTCTGACAATGTTAATATCAATGAACTAGTACCCACCCATGAAATTCCTGGTTCAGTACAGCTAAGTTGGAAACTTAAAAGATGTTGTAGAACTGCAACAACAACTTGTTTAACGTGGAAGAAACTAGCAAAACAGTGCTAGAACAGCCCTATTCCACAAACTAAATATAACTGTTCATTCTTACTAATACTATTTAATATGAAAATGTTTAAAGGGTGCCCTCAAAAACTGTAATATGTCCCCTTAATTAAACAAGGGGACATAAATCCCTTAAACTATGAAAAATTGGAATAACCTTGAACACAAAAATATACATGTACAAAACAGTAAAAACAACAATACTAAAAGTCAGGGGCATAAAACAGTAAAACCTGTAGTATTAAAGGTGACTTTTATATATTTGTGTGTATTGTAAGAGTACAAAGTGAACAAAGTATCCCATTTGACAGTTTTTATATTCTTGTGATATAGTGACTTGTTTTGTATGTAATATGAGTGTATGAAAAGCCACAGTACTGAAGGTATTTATACTAAACAATAAAAACTGCAGTACTGAAGGTCTTTACACAAAACAGCAAAAACTGCAGTACTGAAGGTCTTTACACAAAACAGTAAAAACTACAGTACTGAAGGTCTTTACACAAAACAGTAAAAACTACAGTACTGAAGGTCTTTACACAAAAGGTTAAAAACTACAGTACTGAAAGTATTTACACAAAACAGTAAAAACTGCAGTACTGAAAGTATTGAC